CTCATGAGACAATTAAAATAGCGTAGATTTCTTTAGGAGACATTTACAGTAGCGTAGATGTCCACAGAAGTCTTTTACATCAATAGACATCTACGGTGTCTAGGAATATCTACAGTAACTTAGTTGTCCTTGGGAAACATGATCGGTAGAGTAGCTGCACTTAGGAGATATCTTCGTTAACTTAGGTATCTTTAGGAGACATCTTAGGCAGCGTAGCTATTTTTAGGAGACATCTACGGTAGCGTAGATGTTCTCAGGAGACGTATTCATTATTGTAGATGTCCTTAGGAGGAGGCATCGACGCTGGAGTAGATGTCCTCAGAAGACATGCTTTGTAGGTTAGAATCCCTTGTAGGATATCTACTGCAGCGTAAATGTTATCCGAAGATATCTACAATTGATATGATCTCTCTATTCTTTGTTTATGTCTTTTCGTCATTTTTTTTTTTTTTTTTGGTTTTATAGGACCATAAATTTCCTTCTCCCAACAGAAAAGAAAGAAAATTCCACACCTCATAGTACACCGTTGGCCGTAAAAAATTTAAAATCAACCCCAGCAAAACACCTCCTTTTCAATGTTTCGATTCGAAATAACTCCAACATCACATACATCAATATCGATTGTCATTTTGTTGTAGGAATCGAGGTACGTACCGCCATTACTTACCTTGATTCCTATGCGGGAAATGTGTGAATCTCCTAAAGGATTTGACTGCTGCATACACAACATGTTCTCGAACTCGAAGTTCTGGTGGCGAATGTGTTGTATTGGCCACGATTTAAGACTGTTGAGCATTGCGGTGCCATTGCCATTCTATGTTCAGACCTCTTTTCACTCAATTTCCGTATGCAAAATTATTGTCAACTGGGGAATTTTATTGCTTCAAAGTAGACAGAATGTCAATGAAGAAGAGGGGAGAAAGAGAAGGTGGTCTGTAGTGGAGTTGATGTTATTTTGGTGTTGAAAATAATATATATTTGAAAAACTAGATTTAAGTTTAAAATTTTTAAAATGTTTAGCCTAAAAGTATGCTCGGTTATTTATAAAAAATTGTTTCCTAAAAGTATGCTCTTCCTTTTACAATTTTAATCATAATTTTTCGATAACATATCTTTGAAGCCAGTTTCTGCAAATAGAAGTCCTCTCAACAAACCTTCTATGTGGAGAAAACATTTCTAGCTGTTTTCAATAGAAACACTTTTTAAAGCATACTTTGGGGCTCCAATTTTGTGGGTATTTCAATGTATAACCTTATGGCGCAAATCAAAAGCCCAATATTCTGCTTTTAATTGGCTTTTGATAAACCATTAACAACCAATTCAATTTTCCACTAAATTAATTCAAATTTTTTTCTGGATTTCACATTCATCTATTCAAATACTCTCCATTTCCATCTCGTTTCTCCTCCATTAATTTAGCAAAAATTCAATTTACATACAAAAAATAAATTCATATTCTATTTTAAAAATATATTTTTTGCTTATTTTTTTATTGAGCGCAACCTCTTTCTGCGTCTCCCCCGATGTGGTATTCAGTTTCAATTACATTGATTGCTTTCATAGCATAATTTGTATGTGTGTACATATATATTAGTCATCTAGTCACACTCACACACACCTATACCTATGCATTTGTGTTAATATTTCTGAAAACATATTTCAATGAATCCAATGAAAACATAAAAGTTATACGGCATAAATAAAGAACTCCACACCGAACCACCAGCAGATTGTGGTTAGTTTGTGTTGGGCTTTCGTTTGGAGGTCCTTTTGAAATTTCATATTTCACTTCTTTGCCAACTCAACGACCTCCCTCTCCTCCCCCAAGGCCATGAGCCGCCAGGAGCATCTTTATTTATTCATGCATCTTTGTGTGTGTGTGTGCAAACTATCATCTGGAGTGTAGAAAATGTTGTTTTTTCTTTCTTTCTACCTTCACCTTTCCTCCAACACCTTTTCTAGCGGCTGGCCGCAAGGGGCTGCATTTTTCCATTTTCTGCTGTCATTGACTGCAAAGCCATAAAATATGTTTGTATAGTTTTTATTTTGCCCCAAGTTATATATGTTTCCGCTGCTGTTGTTGTTGTTATATATTTATGGTACATTGAAAATTTGATAAAAAGGCTATAAAATGTGCATAAATTTATGTGCCAGGTTTGGGCGTTTTGTTTTAAGAGAGGAAGAGAGGAGAAAAATGACTAAATCCATTAGCAATGGGTATAAAAATGTTGTGGTTTCTAGAGGGGATGAAGGAGCAGGTACATTTTGTTACAATTTTTAAATTTAAGTTTGAAGTTTTTTTTTTTGGAGAAAGTGCCCTTGGAAAACTGTATTTTTATATAACATATTTTTAAAAAAATTACTTTTTTTTAAAAGTCCTGGGAAAAATATTTAAAAAAAAATATACTTTCTTTGAAAGTCCTGGGAAAAATATTAAAAAAAATCCCTCTTTGAAGGTCCTGGAAAAAATATTTTTAAAAAATCCATGTGCTTTGAAAGTCCTGGGAAAAATATTTTTAAAAAATCCCTATTCCTTGAAAGTCCTTGGAAAATATTTTCAAAAAGTTCCTATTCTTTGAAAGTCCTCGAAAAAATATTTTCAAAAAATCCCCATTCTATTAAATTCCTGGGAAAAATATTTTTAAAAAATCCACGTTCTCTGAAGAACCTGGGAAAAATATATTTTACAAATCCACATTTATTGATAGTCGTGGGAAAACTACTTTTAAAAAATCCACGTTCTCTGAAGAACCTGGGAAAATATATTTTAAAAAAATCCACGTTCTCTGAAGAACCTGGGAAAAATATTTTTTACAAATCCACGTTTATTGATAGTCGTGGGAAAAATATTTTCAAAAAATCCCCATTCTTTGAAAGTCCTGGGAAAAATATTTTTTTTTAAATCCCTATTCTTTGGAAGTCTTGGGAAAAATATTTTTAAAAAATCCCTATTCTCTGGAAGTCCTGGGAATTAATATGTTAAAAAAATCCCCATTCTTTGAAAGCCCTTGGAAAAATATTTTCAAGAAATCTCCATCGTTTAAAAGTCCTGGGAAAATATTTTTTAAAAATCTATGTTCTTTGAAAGTCCTGGGAAAAATATTTTTTAAATATCCCCCTTCTCTGAAAGTCCTTGGAAAAATGTTTTTAAATGATCAACATTCTTTGAAAGTTCTGGGAAAAATATTTTTTAAATATCCCCACTTCTGAAAGTCCTTGGAAAAATATTTTTAAATAATCAACAACCTGGGAAAATATTTTTACGACGTCCCCATTCTTTGAAAGTCCTGGGAAAAATATTTTTAAAAAATCCGCGTTTATGGATAGTCCTTGGAAAAATAATTGTAAAAAATCCACGTTTTTGGAAGGTCCTTGGAAAAATATTTTTAAAAAATCCACTTTTATTGCTAGTCCGTGGAAAAATATTTTTAAAAAATCCACGTTCATTGCTTGTCCTTGGAAAAATATTTTTAAAAAATCTACGTTTATTGATAGTCCTTGGAAAATATTTTTAAAAAATAAATAGTCGTTGGAAAAATATTTTTTAAAAAATCCACGTTTATTGCTAGTCCTTGGAAAAATATTTTTTAAAAAATCCACGTTTATTGCTAGTCCTTGGAAAACTATTTTTAAAAAATCCACGTTTATGGATAGTGCTTGGAAAACTATTTTTAAAAAATCCACTTTTATGGTTAGTGCTTGGAAAACTATTTTTAAAAAATCCACGTTTATGGATAGTGCTTGGAAAACTATTTTTAAAAAATCCACGTTTATGGATAGTGCTTGGAAAACTATTTTTAAAAAATCCACTTTTATGGATAGTGCTTGGAAAACTATTTTTAAAAAATTCACGTTTATGGATAGTGCTTGGAAAACTATTTTTAAAAAATCCACGTTTATGGATAGTGCTTGGAAAACTATTTTTAAAAAATCCACGTTTATTTATAGTCCTTGGAAAAATATTTTTAAAAATCCACGTTTACTGATAGTCCTTGGGAAAAATATTTTTAAAAAATCCACGTTTACTGATAGTCCTTGGAAAAATATTTTTAAAAATCCACGTTTACTGATAGTCATTGGAAAAATATTTTTAAAAATCCACGTTTACTGATAGTCCTTGGAAAAATATTTTTAAAAAATCCGCGTTTACTGATAGTCCTTGGAAAAATATTTTTAAAAAATCCACGTTAACTGATGGTCCTTGGAAAAATATTTTTTAAAATCCACGTTCTTTGAAATCGCTTGGAAAAATATTTTTAAAAAATCCACGTTCTTCGAAATCGCTTGGGAAAATATTTTTTAAAAAATCCCCGTTTGCTGATAGTCCTTGGAAAAATATTTTTAAAAAATCCACGTTTGCTGATAGTCCTTGGAAAAATATTTTTAAAAAATCCACGTTTATTAATAGTCTTTGAAAAAATATTTTTAAAAAATCCACGTTAACTGATAGTCCTTGGAAAAAATCCGCGTTTACTGGTAGTCCTTGGAAAAATAGTTTTAAAAAATCCACGTTAGCTGATAGTCCTTGGAAAAATATTTTTAAAAATCCACGTTTGCTGATAGTCCTTGGAAAAATATTTTTAAAAAATCCACGTTTACTGATAGTCCTTGAAATTTTTATTAAAAATTATTTTTAAAAAATCCACGTTTACTGATAGTCCTTGGAAAAATATGTTTAAAAAGTCCACGTTTGTGGATAGTCCTTGGAAAGTTATTTTCAAAATATCGGCGTTTGGTGATGGTCATTGGAAAAATAATTTTAAAAAATCCACGTTCTTTGAAAATCCTTGGAAAATATTTTTAAAAAGTCCACGTTTATTGTTGGACATGAAGAACCGACTATTTTAGCTCTGCTATTCTTTTAACAAAAATATGAATATTTTTCTTTATATCTACATTTATTTTATCTGAAATATATCCTTGCATTTGTACTTAAAACCTATTCACTTATAAAAACTTTTAATACCACTCATTCATTCACTGCTCACAGTTTTCTAGAGTTCTACCTAAAATAATTTCTTGGAACTTTGCATTTGTTCCAAATACTCATCCATTGTGGTTTCAACAACTTTGCCACTGGCCTTTGCCATTTTCCAAAAATACACAGCAACATCGGCAAAGAAATTCTTGAGCAGCTCCTTGAAGCCATTGTCGGTCAGGGCCTTTTGGTAGGCCTCATCGGTCATGCCGGTTTCGGCGGCATCATTTAACAGCAATGGAGATTTGTTGAACTGTTAAATAATAAGAAAATTATTTCTCTATAACTCTTATATCTCCCTCCGAAATTGTTTACCTGCTGGAAAGTTTCCCAATACATGACATCCTTCTTCTCCAACTCCTTCTCCTCCTTGGCCTGTTCTAGTCTCTGTACGAAAACCTCAATATCCTTGTAACGTTTGGTATCCGGTTTCAGTGATTGTTTCAGTTTGTTAAAAAAGTCAATTTGTGCTGTGAAAATGGCATTTAAAAATTCCTCGGTTTCCAGGCGGGCCTCTCGCTCAAAATCCTGCTTGACATCTTCACTTATTACCGGCGACTTGACCACACCACTTTGAGCCAACTAGGGGGTGCCAAGGAAAAATATTTTAAAATTATTTTCATCATGACATCAGCTGTCCTACAACTCACTTGTATTATACAAAATGTCAGGCAAACACAGCTTATTGTTAAAAAATTTAATTTTGTCTTGAACATTTTTTGTTTTTGTATTTCTGAGATTTATTTTCTAGTCCGAACTATTAGAGCTTCTAGCTTAAACTAATCATCACTTTCATTTCTAGCTTTGCAATTATGGCTGGAATTAAAAAGCTTCTGTACTAGATTTTAAACTCATACAAATGTAGAATTTATTATCATTTTTTGTTGGATTCTCCCATTCATTCATCTTGAATGAAAGGCAATTAATAGAGGGGGTCCATTTGTGGGAAAAGGGTGGCAAGCTCAGTGTTTTATTACGTTTGTAACAGAACGAAAAATATGGGATGCTTATCTCTCTTAGATGACTGATAATAATATATGTTCTCTTGAAACGACACTTATCCATAGGAAACCTCATGAGAGAGCTTTTCTCCATAAAATAGCTCTGAGACCGATTTTGTCTCGTGAGGCCGATTCTTTCTAATGAAATCTTTCTAGAGATAATTTCCTCACAAGCTTTGGAGAGGACTTCTAAATGTTGAAAACTCCTATCTTTATCTCGATGAAAGGGCTTCTATTAATTGATGACGTCCTTATAGGGCATCTACCCACAAAATGCCTCATAAGAGAGGTTATCTACATAGAATAGTTCCAGAGAAGGCTTATAACTTTTATATGACGTCCTAATAGGGCATCTTCCCATAAAATGTGATAGAAAAACTCCAGAGGGTTTTTTAATATAAAAGCTCTATTGAAAGCTTCGTCTTAGGTTTACATATTTAAACTTTTTAGGTGCTTCTTATACACATAAAAAGCTTTTGTCTGTAAAAGGGTTTTTATCTTTATCTCTCTGATGGGTCTTTTATTAGCAGATGATCTCTTGAACATGTACCCATAAAATGTCTCATGAGAGAGCTTCTCTTCACCGAATAACGTCTGAGATGGATTTTAGATTTTATCAATAAAAAAGCTCTTGAGAGGACTTCAACTTTGGATAACATTCATCTTGAGAGTTCTATTTATAGAAACATTTACAGAGAGAAAAGCTTTTGGTGGGACTTCTATCTGTAAAGGCTTCTATATTTATCAACCTGAGAGGAGTTCTTAGAGAGCTTCAAGTTTGGATAACGTCTTTAGGGAGATTCTATTCATAGAAATCATTCTATTTATACACAAGCTTCTAAAATGCTTTCGAGATGATTTAAATCTGTAGACATCCTTGACATGATTTTCATTCACTGATGTTGCATTGAAAGACCTTCATACACAGAACGAATCTTGAGAGAGCTTCTATCAAAGAAGATCTCTTCAGAGGGCTTTTCTCTGCAGAGCGCCTATGGGGAGAACTCCTAGCTAAATTTAGTCTCATGAGAGACCATGACAAATAGAATTATCTTTGATGAAATTCTTGATAAGGCTGTTTCTATCTATACAACATCCCGTGAAACGACTTCTCTCTAAAGAAACCCTCTTGAGAGGGTTTTCTATCTATAGATAGCGTTTCTATGCAAACCTCTCTCGGAAGGTTTTTCTCTATAGCTCTCTATAGAGAGAGAATTTCCTATTGAGAGAGAATTTCTGGAGACGAAGATAGAAATTCTTGCTAAAATGGCATATATTTGTAGAAAAGTGCACGCTTATTGATAAGCCTTGGAAAATATTTTTAAAAAATCTGCGTTTCTTGGAAAATATTTTTAAAAAGTCCACGTTCATTGATAGTCCTTGGAAAAATATTTAAAAAAGTCCACGTTTATTGATAGTCCTTGGAAAAATATTTTAAAAAGTCCACGATTATTGATAGTCCTTGGAAAAATATTTTTAAAAAGTCCACGTTTATTGATAGTCCTTGTAAAAATATTTTTAAAAAATCCACGTTTATTGGAAAAAGTCCACGTTTATTGATAGTCCTTGGAAAAATATTTTAAAAAGTCCACGTTTATTGGAAAATATTTTTAAAAAGTCCACATTTATTGATCGTCCTTGGAAATATATTTTTAAAAATCCACGTTTATTGATAGTCCTTGGAATTTTTTTAATTCCTCTTTTATTGATAGTCCTTGGAAAAATATTTTTAAAACTCCACGTTTATTGATAGTCCTTAGATTTTTTTTTAATTCCTCTTTTATTGATAGCCCTTGGAAAAATATTTTTGAAAAATCCACGTTTATTGATAGACCTTGGTAGAATATTTTTTTAAAAATCCACGTTTATTGATAGGCCTTGGACAATATTTTTTAAAAATCCACGTTTATTGATAGGCCTTGGACAATATTTAAAAAAAATCCACGTTTATTGATAAACCTTGGAAAGTATTTTTAAAAAATCCAAGTTTATTGATTGGCCTTGGAAAATAATTTAAAAAAATCGACGTTCTTTGAAAGACTAGGGAAAAATATTTTTAAAAAATCCACGTTTATTGATAGTCCTTGGAAAAATATTTTTAAAAAAATACACGTTAGTCCTTGGAAAAATATTTCTTAAAAAATCTACGTTTAATCAAGTCTGTGGAAAAAATTTCTTAAAAAATCTACGTTTAATCAAGTCTGTGGAAAAAAAAATTTAAAAATTCCACGTTTTTTAAAGTCCTTTGAAAAATATTTTTAAAAAAATACCCGTTTTTTGATAGTCCTTGGAAAAATATTTCTTAAAAAATCTACGTTTAATCAAGTCTGTGGAAAATTTTTTTTAAAAAATCGACGTTTATTCAAGTCTTTGGAAAAATATTTTAAAAAGTCCACGCTTATTGATAGTCCTTGGAAAAATATTTTTTTAAAAAATCCACGTTTATTAAAGTCTTTGGAAAAATATTTTTAAAAAATCCACGCTTATTGATAGTCCTTGGAAAAACATTTTTAAAAAATCCACGTTTATAAATAGTTCTTGGAAAAATATTTTTAAAAAATCTACGTTCAATCAAGTCTGTGGAAAAAAAATTTAAAAAATCCACGTTTATTAATCTCTTTGGAAAAATATTTTTAAAAAATCAACGCTTATTGATAGTCCTTGGAAAAATATTTTTAAAAAGTCTGTGGAAAAAAAAATTTAAAAAATCCACGTTTGTTAATCTCTTTGGAAAAATATTTTTAAAAAATCCACGTTTATAAATAGTTCTTGGAAAAATATTTTTAAAAAATCTACGTTCAATCAAGTCTGTGGAAAAAAAAATTTTAAAAAATCCACGTTTGTTAATCTCTTTGGAAAAATATTTTTAAAAAATCCACGTTTGTTAATCTCTTTGGAAAAATATTTTTAAAAAATCCACGTTTGTTAATCTCTTTGGAAAAATATTTTTAAAAAATCCACGTTTGTTAATCTCTTTGGAAAAATATTTTTAAAAAATCCACGTTTGTTAATCTCTTTGGAAAAATATTTTTAAAAAAATCCACGCTTATTGATAGTCCCTTTAAAAATATTTTAAAAAATCCACGTTTATTGATAATCCCTGTAAAAATATTTTAAAAAATCCACCTTTATTGATATTGCCTGTAAAAATATTTTGTAAAAAAATCCACGTTTATTGACAGTCCTTGTAAAAATATTTTGTAAAAAATCCACGTTTGTTGATAGTCCTTGTAAAAATATTTTGTAAAAAATCCACGTTTATTGATGGTCCCTGAAAAAATATTTTGTAAAAAATCCACGTTTATTGATGGTCCCTGAAAAAATATTTTGTAAAAAATCCACGTTTCTTGATAGTCCCTGTAAAAATATTTTGTAAAAATCCACGTTTATTGATAGTCCCTGTAAAACTATTTTGTTTCTTTCTGTCGATCACCTTTAGAGAGGCCTTTTATTTATCGAAACCTCTTCAATAAGCTCCTATCTATGTAAACCTAGTTTAGTACTATCCCGTCTGTAGTGATTCCTCAAATTCGTTACAGCTGATTAAAAATCGGTGTTATTATTCCGCTATTTTTTTCTCCCATCCATTACATCTATCTGTGGCAGAATAATCGCGCAAATGTCTCCCATGTGCTGCGATGTTGGTGCTGGTAGTGATGGTGGCGTCTGCCTAGGCTGCCTGGGCAGAACGTTATCAGTCAGTGGAAGGTCAATTCTATTACTTGCATTAATGTGGACAACAACAATAGCAACACCAACAACAATAGCTAAACAAATTATATAAACATTTGAAAAGAAATGAAAAGTGACAATATTTCAATTGATAATTTCGCGAATGCTTCTGATAATGATGTGGTGATGATGCCCACCACACATGATTTTTTTTTGTTTTTTTTTTGGGCAAAACATAGCGATTTGAACTTTTAACCTCAAAATCAAGCAACTGTCTGGAATTATTGTTTTTTTTTTCGGCAATTTTTTACGTTGTATTTTTATTGTTTGTTGATTTTTCAAATTATTTCCGAAATTAGAGTGTCTGCTGATATTTACATATTTTTGCACGGGATTTGGGTCTGAGAAGGGGTACAGGTTTGTTTTTGTTTACGTTTTTTTTGGAATTGACACATTTGAGAATTTTTTGTGTTGGGGTCTGAATCGGGTGGATTTTTGTGGGAAAGAGTTGAGATTTGAAGCAATATACTTTTTTTCAAATTCAATAAAAAAACTAGGAATGAAAATATTTTAAAGATATGCAAATATTGACTTCCCTGAGCCTTGATAAGAGTTTATTCGCTAAGTCAAACATGTTGATAATTGGTTAGAAAACGAAAACAGTTTTGTGTTTATTTTTAAATTATGTTTTTAAATATATATATTAGTGGCCCGATAATCACACCTCGTACGCAGCGGACAATTGCTTATTTTTCTTGTTTTGATTACAACAGTGCACTTGCACGCGTTTTCCTCAGAGAAAACAGATAAGAGGTCTTTTAACTGACTCAAGAGACGTATGTTTACACTTGATTGCTTTGAAAAAAAAAAAACTTAATATGCAAGTTATAAAAGTGTATCATACTAAATTACAAATTGTTCTGTCTATTGGACGTGAGAAGGCCTGTGAATATGACTTCTATCTAGAAAAGGGTTTTAAAGGGTTAGTGTCCATTGAAGTCCTTTTTATACATTTTTTATCGAATAAGGACTTAAAAAGGATCAATATCAACTAAACCATATTAGATAGGTCTTGCAACCATCGAAGTCTGGTTAATAGGTGTTATATTCACTGGAGCTGTAATCTTCAC